AGCCTCCGGGAAGAGAAACACAGAAGGAACCGAGCAGGTGGCCGAGAGAAAAAGCCTCCCCTGACGCCCCGGCTGAGCCACCGACTGACTTCAAAAGGAACAGGTGACAGGAACCGCCCCCCCCCGGGCTCTGAGAGGGAAGCGCCCTGAGGTCATCTGGGGCCTCACTTCAGAGGAGTCACCCCCCACCCCCGCCTCATGGAAGCCACGGTTCATCCCTGCTCACGCCGGACGAGGGAGGACAACGGAGGCCTGTTCCTAGGCGTGGAAGAGGAGACACCTGAACATCATTTCCCCACGAGGATGGCTACATAAGGGGGCACTACGCAAAACAGTCCCACAAAGATCAGGTTTTATCTCACTACTGTTGTGAAATTTAAGAGGGTGGCGCCGTAGAACGGGGGAGGTGAGTGCAATGGGATCTCTCTGCAAATCTGACATAACTTTAGGGCAGGAACCATGGACCACGGAGGAACCCCCATTAACTGGCCACAAGGCCTTTGCTTTCCCTGCGGAGGAGGCCTCAGCGCACACACACACGGCAGAGCCCAAAGGAGGGCTTTGTGTTTTGATCTCTGCCCGGCTGGAAACAATGGAAGTGGCGCTCCCTAATTATGGCCATTTTGCGCAAGCCTCGTTACTTAAGTTCCATTTGGCTTAATTGTAAATGTTTATCTGCCACCTGGTAGGGTCAAAGAACAAATATTGGTAACTTTACTCAGGCTGGAATCCTATTTACCAGACCTGTGACAGCAGCCATGAAATTAAAAGACGCCTGCTCCTTGGGAGGAAAGCAATGGCGAACCTAAACAGCATGATAAAAAGTAGAGACATCACCCTGCCAACAAAAGTCCGCATGGTCAAAGCAATGGTATTCCCAGTAGTCATGTATGGCTGTGAGAGTTGGACTATAAGGAAGGCCGAGCGCCGAAGAATAGATTCTTTTGAACTATGGGGCTGGAGAAGACTCTTGAGAGTCCCTTGGACTGCAAGAAGATCAAATCAGTCAATCCTAAAAGAAATCAACCCTGACTGTTCCCTGGAAGGCCAGATAATGAAACTGAAGCTCAAATACTTTGGCCCCCAAATGAGAAGGGAGCACTCACTGGAGGAGAAGACCCTGATGCTGGGAAAGACTGAAGGTCAAAGAAGACGGGGATGGCAAAGGATGAGATGGTTAGACAGTGTCATCGATGCAACGGACATGAAATTGAGCCAACTTCAGAGGACGGCGGAAGACAGGAGGGCCTGGCGGGAGCTGGTCCATGGGGTCTCGAAGAGTCGGACTCAACTGTGTGACTGAACAACAACAACCAAGGCAGCCCACCCCATGGCAGCTTAGGCTATCGTGGGAGGCAACTTCAACATGAGGACAGGCCCTGGTGATCTCAGCCTACATGACAAGAGCAATTGTTGTTTTTTAAGGGCCCAAAGTACGGCTCTTCCTCTAGGCAGGTGTTCAAAAGACACAATAGTCAATTATGTGAGCTTTATTTATTCTATTTTTGTATTTATACCCCGCCCTCCCCGCTAATGGGCTTTATACCAAGTCAGGTAACAAACAGAATTACATCTCCATCTACTGAATGGGTCTTTCCCAGGTGACCACCCCGCAGAGTTTACATTCTGGTTGGTTGACAGAATGAGCGTTACAGACTATATCCTGGTCTCGGAAGAGGTAGAGGCTGCCCCCATTTGTTCCCTCTTGTATTGAAAACAGACATGCAAAAGGTAGGTTTGCACACTGTGGAATCCTACAACCTCTGTTCAGGTTCTTCTGATAACGTTCTACACAATCGTCTCAGATGGAAAGACTCAGTGAAAAGAGCCTTGCCTGAGACGCTCCACTCTGAGTCGCTTCATACTGTCTGCCAAAGTCTAGCGTCTTGCCTGGAGAACTACCAACAAATTCTGAGGGAATTAAAAAAATGGTCTGAAAGGCTCCAATCCTAAAGTCCAGTGGCCAGATTTTCATAAGCCATGGTTTGATAAAGAATGCAGAAATGCAAAGAAACTTCTTTACGCAAACTATACAAGATATAGATGCAACCCAGAAGCTGTATCTCTAACACTTAAAAGCCCAGTATAAGGCTCTTATTAAAAAGAAGAAACAGGAAGACATCAGACTGTCTTGGGAGTAACTTAGAAAGGCAGTAAAGGAAAAGAACTCAGCACGGTTTCGGGGACTGGTCTCTGGTCTTTCGGACAGGCCTGTAAATATTTTGGGCAGCCCCATCTCTCCTGGGATCCGGGAAATCCACTTTAGGAATTTGTATAAGAAAATAATCACAAGATCTTCTAATTCTAGGGAAACTGACAATCTTCCAAACTGGCCCCCTGTAGATCACTCGGAGGTGAAACAGCTCATTGACACCCTGAAGCCTGGCAAAGCACCAGGTCTTGATTTAATCCCCCCAGAGCTGATAAGAAAGAATGCAGAATGGTGGGTACCGGTTTTGGCATCCCTATTTACATTAACTGATCAAACAGGGAGAATCCCTAAGGACTGGAGAGTAGAAGACCCAAATAACTACAGGCCAATTAGTCTGCTAAGCACAGCGAGTAAACTTTATGCGAGGCACCTCCTATGGAAATTCAGGGATTGGCTGAAAAATGACTCTTGTCTGGCAGATGAGCTGGCCGGCTTTAGAGAGGGTTAGATCAGGGTATGACATTGGACCACCTGATTGCCAAATATTCCGCCAACTCAAATGTGTCTCTTTTCGCCGCCTTTTGGGGCCTAAAGTTGGCTTTTGACTCAGTCTCTAGAATCATTCTATGGCACAAATTAAGAGCGTCAAGTATTGACAGAAGGTTACTATTTCTTTTTCAGGCCCTTTCACGACAACACATTTATAAGGGTTAGGTACTCTTCCCAGAGTCACCTGACAAATCCCATTAGAGCTGAGGAAGGAGTTAAACAAGGATGTCTTTTGGCACCACTTCTCTTTAACTCTTATATCAATGATGTGGTAGCCTATTTAAACAGGCCCGAGTTCCATCCCCCAAAGCTAGGCAACAGACAGACACACAGGGGTGCTCTTATACTTGCAAGGACACCCATCGGCCCCAGGAGAGCCATGAGTTGTTTTGCCCAATATTGCCAGAATAATAACTTAGAGGTTAACTATTCAAAAACTAAAGTAATGGCCTTTACTAAAAGATCGCCCAAAACTTTTCATTGGCACTTAAATTCTGTTTCCATTGAACAAGTCACCTGTTTTAAATATCTGTGTGTTAACTTCCAGGCAAATGGTTCAAGAACTGTAAATACAAATTCTGCTGTCATAAATGCCAAAAGGGGGCAATTCAAAAATTTTACTGGCACAAAGGGGGCAAATGTCTTGTAGCTGCCCTTAGACTATATAAGGCCAAATCTCTTAGTCAACTTACCTTTGGAGCCCCCATCAATATTACATCTAACCACAAGAAACTGGACACAGTCTGATCAAAATTTTTGAAATCTGTTCTACTGGTCCCTAATGGACTTCCAAATGCACTTATTCGAATGGAAACGGGAATGATTCCTGTGGAGGCAAGGTCATGGACCATGGTGATTCCATTACTGGCTGAAATTCGTTTTTCTATCCAAGGGGCAGACGTGTTTAATGTTACAAGACATCTTTATACCCCTTTGACTTAAGGCTATAGAGGAGAAACTCCCTTATTTCGGTTTCGCAAAACAATACCTGTGTTCCCTTGCCTATGACAAAGCTAGAGAAATGATAAAACAGGATTATGGCTATTGATAGGCAGAACCATACAGGTAGAACAGAGAAATGGCATACACTTCTTGACCCTATTAACAGAGTAAGCTCTACGGCCTATTTTCACCACCTGTCAAACCACGAACACG